GGGACCGGTTTCTAGTTTCCAGTTTCCCATTTACCGATTAATGAACTGTTTTTGTATTGCAAGCTGTAGGAATGCCTGTTCTCATTGGTGTTGGTTTTCAGTTTGGGTATATACACGGAATTCCTTTTAGAGTATTTTTTAGGAGGTTAAGAGTGTGTTTCCTATTTAAACGGGGTTAATAACTTAGATAAACAAAAGAAATATACTTCGTTTTTGTAAAATAATGAATCGTTTCCCTACAGTCTTGATTTTAGAAGGATTACTCTTTGAGACGGATTCGGAGATCCATTGATGAAGACAAGATTCATTTTTATAAATCCAATTTTCATTAAAGTACACAAATTATCATTTTTAAACTAAAAAACCAGTAAAATTAATTTAAAAACATTCAAGAAACTGTAATACTTTTCAAATATGTGTGTTTATGTCTAGTTAGTTACGGTCTATGTTAAGTGACAGTTGACAGTCAAATTATCGGCTATTGCGTTCGGTCTGCCAAGCTCCTTTAACTCCTTTTGTAAAAATTTACTCAAAAGAATATATCATATGGTTTGGCCTTTAAGATATTCTTTCTCTAATTGGTACCTATAAAAATAGCAAAACTAATAATTTTCTTGAATGTCTTCCGTTTATTTATAAAAAAACGACTTAAAACTTCTCTTCAATTGTTAATTTTAGAGAAAACAAAACATTCAATGATAATTTTTAAACTAAAAAACCAGTAAAATTAGTTTAAAAACATTCAAGAAACTGTAACACTTTTCAAATACGTTTGTTTATGTCTAGTTAGTTATGATCTATGTTAAGTGACAGTTGACAGTCAAATTAACGTTGTAAGATGATTATTTGTACTTTGTGCACATTAATATTAAGAATAAAGCATAGTTCGATATAATTTTCATTTATAAAAAAGACTTTCTTTTAAAATAATTACTTATTAATACTTCTATAACACATTGCTCAACTAAACGAGCCTTTCTTTAAACGCAATTAATTAAAGTTAAAGTGGACTTCTGACTCAACCCGGTGCGTCCTGTAGTATACTTCAGGTTTTGGTCTTTTCGAGAAAATTGCCTTCGTCTTATGACCGTCGCAATGTTGGTACAGCATAATTGAGGTTATACAATTATACATTACCATCTTTAATGTTTTATTCCAGACGACATGAACTTTTACACGATGTTCGTACTTTTGCCAAAGAGGCAGTATTACAAAAATGATATTGTAACATTATTAAAATCGTAAAATTTTATTAATATGTTATACCGCACTACAGGTACGGATTCTAGGGAAATCTAGCTTAAACTGATAAATTTAGGTACCGTGTTTGTCCTTTATTTACATCTGTATAATTACAAATACCACAGAAATGCACAAAAATTATGTTTATTTAAAGCTATAACAATGTATCAACACTTTTTAACGACGTCTGGAAGACCCTAACCGAGATCCTGAGGCTTCTGACAGACAATATGCAGATGTTGACATATCATTTTCATCACCATTCCAGTCATAGTATTTGTCTCAACAAGTTTTCACATCTGCCCAAGAAGAATAACTAGCCAAATATTTTATCCAAAATTTGAAAATGACTTATGGTCTCACATATACACAAGCTCAAAAAATGGCATTCGATTATGCCAAAAAATTAAATGTAAAGTATCCACCGAGCTGGAATAACTCGTTATCCGCTGGAAAGGATTGGATACAATTATTCACGATGAGATATCCAATTTTGTCATTAAGGAAGCCGGAAAATACTAGTATGGAAAGAATTTTTTAATAATTTACAAAGAGTTTTAGAAAAGAACGAACCTACAATTTGGATGAAACAGGCGTTGCCACTGTTTTAGACGCACCGAAAGTTATTGCCAAAACTGGTACAAAACAAGTGGGTCAGGCAGTATCCGCAGAACGAGGAGAGCTGGTTACATTTTGCGGTATAATAAGCGGAGTTGGAAATACAATTCCTCCTGTCTATGTGTTCCCTAGAGCAACATTTAAGGATGTTTTTATGAATGGTGCGCCTACAGGAAGTCTTGGATTAGCCAACAAGTCAGGGTCAGGATGAATGACATCCATATTATTTTTGGATGTAATTAAACTCATTGCTACCTACTTTCTGTGCCTAAGCACCGAGGTGGGATTTATATTAATCCAATGTTGGATGCCGACTAACAACAGTGAAGAAGGAGGTGAGTCGTAGAAAAAGTTATGTTCTTAAGTGGGCGCCAGGAGTTTAACCTCACATCCAACAATCCATGTGACAGTTCACTACCAAACTCCAAATAGAAAACTATAGCATCTCCTCTACAAGGCCATCAAGCGGCTACAAATCGAGTATACTCCTATTATATTATAAGTGAACTTTACCATAAAAATAAATGCAGATGTTTATAAAATCAAACAGACAATTAGCAAGTGGGATAAATAATAAGTAAAGTTCAATATATACCCAAGATTAATTAGTATAAATAATTTATCGTGTTGACATGGGGGGTCAACTTCGTTACCACTTCAAAATTTAACAAATTAATATCAACTAAATCACTTAGTACATTACTAATAGATTCCCCAACTAATAACAATAATCCAGTATCACTGGGAGTAATATTTACAAATAATACGCTATATTATGTTTAAAATAATTAAATGAGACTAAGGGTAATCGTAAAGATGTAACACATGAGGTGCCTACTGTATTTTAGCAAATAAACAAATAATAGTGTACTATTTACGGTCGCTAGGGGTAAAAACAAGTAAAACTCTGTTACTTATTAAAAATATTAACTATCCATAAGTAATATACCACACGAAGAGCTCTTGGTGACGTATTTCAGGTTTAATAAAATGTACTATAAACTATACACCCCTAAACCTCGTTTACATTAGGTTTAGATTAAAATACGTACTAATAACACCCCCCAATAAAATAGATTAAATAGTAATATAAAAAATAAGATTGCAAAAACTTGCGGTACACTGTGACTTCTTTTTAGCTGCTCTAGTAGACGGTTGATGTCCTACTTCGGCATACAAATCAATCTGCATGTCATAAAGCCCGTTACACGATTACTAGCTAATCACAAGGAGTACTAACTGGTCACAAGATGTGCTAGTCAGCCCGTCACAAGAAGTGTTGGCACTTCACAAGGACTACTGGCCCGTACCAAGAAGTGTTAGCTCGTCAAGAATTGATAGCCCGTCACAAGAAGTCCTTAACAGCTACAGGGGAAACACGAAGCACCAGGTAAAATTTAACAGCTACAGGGGAGACAGAAAGCACCAGATAAAATTGAACTACAAATTCGTGAACAGCTTATCCAGAAAGACTACATATATATGTGGGCACAATGAGATTCAATACGTGGTTAAATATATCCTCCTAGAGCTCCTACAACATGTGGTCACCAAAAAATACTACCAAATCCACACTGTTGTAACTTAAAACAAAAAGGTTGCTTCACAATATCCCAAATGGATTGAAACGACTTCCAATAAATTTCGAAACAGTACCTTTCAAATAAACCACGTGTGGAATATCAATCTCGAAATACCAAGCAAGACGGAACAATATCACTTGACATCTCCCAAACCAGTAATACCAACATACCTTAGTGACAAATAGGTGTCCCATCAGCGCCCTCTATTACGAAATAAATTCTTGACAAAAAGGGCTAAAATAACCAAACAAACCTCTAAACCCAAATAAATAGCCTAACTAAACTCAAATAGAGGTCCTATCTACCCCAAACTGATTATATATCCACAATTAACGTCAGAGCGGAAACGCTAGACCGACATCTTGAATACAGGGCAGCCACAAACTCGCCCTGGGGGGCTATTTTCAAACTCGAGAGAATTAATTTCTCTCAAGTCATACGTCAACGTAAAACCGTATTTTTAGGGCTCTTAGGGCCAGTGTGAACTCACTGACTGTTTCTCTCGGTTTATTTAGAGAGAATTAAAATCTTCCTAAGAAATTTAATCCTCAATGCATTTAAAAACAACATTTCCACATTGACGTATGACATTTCTGATGAGAATCTTGACAGAAATGAGTGCTCCCATACTTTGAAAATAGCCCCCCAGTGTCGCAGAGGGATCTGAATCGCTTTCGACGGTGAGGACAAAATCAGTGGTTCGCATATCGATCCAAAAGCACAGTGGTTTAAATGCGGGTATAGAAGGACCCATTAAATAATTACTGAACACGGATAAAAACTAGCTTATTCCTATTTTTATGAAAAACCGCTATAAGGCCAAATTTAAACGTTACAACATACAGAAGCATTCAAAATGTACGAAAGATGAATCCATACTGATTGTATTGGTCAACCATGAGTCCCACACCAGCCTCGAAACAATTTTATTTTGTAGAGAGAATAGAATTATTTTCGTTACCTTTCCCCTCCATTGCACACACCACCTCCAGCCTCTTGACATTGCACTATATGTTCCATTTTATTCAACTTATCGTAAAATTTTCTAACCTTAAAAAAACTTGAATATCGTGAATAGGATTATAATAGGGGGCTTGGAAATAAAGGTACAATAATTAATTATCAATTCCTTAAATCGCCAACAAAAACAAAAGCACTTTAAAGTATACCCGAAACAGACTGTAAAATAAACCCTCAACGATTCGAACCCGCAATTCCAAAAACTTGTCTTTCAGGCCCACAATCATCATTCTTCGGCGTGGGCGGGGCGGTCAGGGAGGCCGCCGTTGCATTAGTAGAACAAAGCCAACTTTATTAATGGAGTTTATATACCAGTCATTCTCGCGCAAGAGATTTCCCCCGGAAAATACATTAATGAAAACTGCATTAGTAAAGTTTCTTTTATCCGGTTCAATTTCATTTTCTCGGAGAAAATGAGAAAGGAAGGATTAGAGATACAAACTGTGCATTAAATAGGAAATTTGATTATTATCATTAAGATTTTGAGTGTAGAATTGCGATTATAGTCTTAAAATTAATAGGATTGTTAAAAATCTTTTATATAAAGGTAGAAAATTTATTTACCCTCAATAACAAAGAGTAGAAATTAAACAATAACAAATAAAACTATTTATAATTCATCTTTATCATATATATTTTCTTCTTGTATTCCATCAGTGCCATCCCAAGGAGTAACAGTGTAAATTTCTGGAAAATCATCACCTTTCAAGATGTAATTCAGCAACTCATTTCCATTGGCCAAATTGCGCAAAAATTTCAAAATGCCCTCTTCAGAAAACTTCCCGTGATAGGCTGCGTAAATTCCATCTTTATAATCAGCGGCAATCAAAATCGGACAGTCTGAACCATCAACATTCAAAACTTCTTGAAGATCTGGTTGGTCGTAGATTGCAGACCACGTCCAACCCCAATTGTATTTCTTGAATCTATCAGAAGCAGTTTTTAGTGTTCCTATATAGGTGTATCTACAAGAAGCTGAACAGTCGATGAGGGTAGGAAAGAAAGCAATCAAACATAATTCTTTATCTTCGCAAGCTTTTCTCAAAGAGCTTTCATCCACGATTTCTGACGGTAATTCAACGACAGGCTCTTCTAATTTTTCATTTATCCATGTTAAAATATCTTTGCTAGTTCTGCCACCATCGAATTCAATCGGAGTTAATCGGTTAGGTAGAAACAGTTTGATATCTGGATAAGCAGTAACGCCGTATTCATTAGCTTTTACTTTATTAACAGATCCATCTAATTTAGCGAATTTCACTTTGCCTTTCAATTCATTAGCAGCTGCGTTCCAATGTGGTTCCAAAGCCTTGCAGTGACCGCACCAATGTGCGTGGAACTGCACCATCCATGTATCATTTGAATTCAAAACAATTTCGTCGAAATTTTGATCACTAAGCTCAACAACTTCGGTGGAAGCGCTTTCTAAGAAACTGTATCTATCGTTTGCACTGAGTCTATTGAGTATCACATCTTTAACAGCATTGATTCCAGCTTCTATAAGCTGCTTGGCGTTTCTAGCTTGCTTGTAATCTTCAGGTTCTATCTTATTAGCTGCAAAAATCTTTATTGTTGGTAAACCACGTATGCCGTACCTTGCAGATAATTCTTTGTGGATGTCTGCATCTACAGCGCCGACTTTGATGACTCCTTTTAATACGTTTGCAGCTTGTACGTACTCTGGAGCTAGGTTCTGGCAGTAGATGCACCATGGCGCGTAGAATTCTACGATCCAAATGTCATCGGTTTTGACTACGAGGTCATCGAAGGTTTCTGTCGTTAGAGCTATCACGTGTTTGCTTGAGGAATAGAGAGAGTAGCTCGGTTGGAAAATTATAAATATGGTAAATAAAATTTGAAAAATTTTCATGACAGTTATCTGTTGATACTTCAAAATATTTTGTGGCATATATTTTAGGTGACTTTGATATGATAGTATCTATACCACATACTTTAATTACTATACGGTGCAAGAAAGACGTCGACACACCCAACATAGGGCGCGGCCATTTTGATGCAATTACTACTACTAGCACGGCATAAAAAACAATCGGCAGGCCCACTCTCTGCTGATCGCATACAAATATTATACTAAGAAAATTTGACCTTGACGACGCCATTCGGGGGTCTTAGTCAGGGTCGGATTAAAGATTTTGTAATAAAATAAGGTATTGATAGGCAGGATCGTATTAAAACAAAAAAGCTTCACAGATTGCGCCAAATAATTAGCTTGTTTTTATTGATGGTCATAAAATTTCTATTAATATTTTTAAAGTGAAATATATGAGCAGCCTTAAATATAACTTAGGACCGATTCCACCGTTGTGTTAAACGAAGTTTAAAATTATATTTTAACATTAACAATGTCATTTTAATCTCCGTTTAACACAATGGTGGAATCGACCCTTAATAACATATATTTATGGAAATCGGGGACAAGGAGCATCAAATGTTATCTCGGAATTAATTAAATTTAAAAAAAAATTACAAACGCCGGATTTAGTGATAAATAATTCAAAATTGTGATGAAAAATTATTTCAATTTTTGTTATTAAACATACAAAACTATTATTTGACATTTTTAAATTGCCAAAAATATCTTTATTTGCTTTTTTTGTATGCTTTATAATAACAATACATGGAGCTTATATCCAAGTCTTCGTGTGTTAAGGCATATTGGGGTCTATTCTGTAAAAATTCCTTTATATTTAACGGCCTCTAAGAATATTGGCGGCCTTTAAAAGTATATTTGTATTCGTTAATTTACTTCTGTCATTATTTAAATAGATTTCTTAAAGATAGTACTCTAATGTATTTTAAAGATCCGTTTAAATAATGACAGAAGTAAAGAAGAAAATATTTTTAAAGGCCGTTAAATATAAAGGAATTGTGACAGAATAGACCCCATTTTGTACATACATCGCAACGTTTAATTTTAAGACATTTTTTTTATTAAAAATCCGCATATATAATAAAATTTTCTTAAAAAATATTAATATTTTGTGCATGCAATTCATTAATATGCTTGTTTATATTTACATTTTCGACAATATTGCCACCATTACACGCGATTTTGGAAAATGGCTCATCCTTACTAGTCCTACGAATTTCATTTAGCCTTACAAGTAAAGCATCCCCACCTGTTTCGCAGTTTTCAGTTCCAGAATGTAATAAATTTAAACATTGCAATTTTTTGAACGTCCTTTGAATTTGGACCGATGTAGGGTATACACAGTTACCATCATGGAGGAAGGATAATTAAGAGTTGCAGATTCCTCACAAAAATTTGGCAGCATGTTTACCTTCAGCGACATATGGAATAGTTTTGTGCAATTAATACTCAGTCGGTAATATAGAAAGATGTAATGCTATTTTAGTTTCAAAATTCGCGGGTTTTTGAATTTACTTCGACAAAATATAAGAATTTACATTTTTAATAGCATTTTTTTAATATGCATCTCAGGCGTATTAAAAAATACAAATAAAATTGTTAAATTTTATGTTAAATAATTTTAGAAGTGTAAAATAAATAATACAAAATTGTAACAACTAAATATTATTTGTAGAATCTTTATTAGTTACAACAATAAACATAATATACATTTTCTGAATAAACAACTATTTTAAATAACATAAAACAAACAAAATTTTTCTATAATCGTGCAAAATAAAATAAGAGTTCTAGCCATAAATCCTGAAACGAAAAACAAAAAAAAAAAACAATCGTTGAAAGCGAAAAACTGCTTAAGACACATGATTTTGATTGTATGTGACTCATTACTAATTTTTAATTTACTACTTATAATTTCTTTAATGGCTAATTAAGATTTTCTTGCTTTTTGTAATGAAAATACTTTAGATTTATCAAGAATATAAAGCTTTGTTATTTGCATATCTGGAATAATTATTATCAAAATGAATATCAGAATTAAATTTTTGTTAAGCATTTCAATATTTGGGAATAACACAATTACGATTAATAATCATTTTTTTCAGAAAAAAAAGTAATTTCTTACAAAAAATTCTGCTGGTTGAAAAAAAATTACAAGAAAAAGTTTCCTTTTAAAGTTATGAAGGAAAACCTACAGGAAAACTGTGACTTTTCTTCGTAAAATCAATAGGTAATACAGATTTTTGTCAATTTCAAGTTTCTTCATTTATTAACACACCTGACCTAACATATTAATATAGTAAACCTATTTTTTCGTCAAACAGAATTTTTTTATAATAATTTTTTCCTTAAAATAAAAATAAAGACTTTTCCATTTTGTCAACTCCATACGGGAGATGTTTAAAATATAACATTTTTCTTTAATTGTTAATAATATACCTACATAAATAAATATAAATTGACGCTAAACTTTACGTGACGTTAACTAGGCACTTACCTACATCTTACTAATATGTTTATAACTGACAAACTGACCCATAACCTAGGATTTTTTTTATAAGTATACCATACATACCTACCTAATAGGATCTTTAAGAAACTGAAAAAATCTTTTAATACAGTTTATTCATATAGTTTTTTGCTGCACAACTTTGCCCAGACATAGTAAAACACGTAAAAGTTAACAAATTAACACTGGAAAACAACTACTATATAAAAAGTGTCAAAAAATATCTATAATTCTAAAAAAATAACAATAACTACATAACACACACATCACAAACAAAATAAATTTAAGACAAACGCTACTGATTCCGAGCTGCTGCAACTTGTTTGTTTGTGTCGATATAAACGACAGTGACAGTGACGCCACTGGCTTGATTGAGAGGTTGGACCCCAAAACGGTGTGCGCGTAGATGTGCGCGTAGCGTTGCCGCCAAGACAAGTTAGTCTGACGAAGGCATAAGCTTATGTTTATTTTGAAAAACAGTCTATATAACTATCTATATCACTGGTTCTGTCAAATTCACCAGGCCCGCAGGGTTGCCATATCAATGCCCACACGTCAAATACCGTGCTAAAGTAACATATTTAACGTCATATGTCAAATTTAATTTAAGTTGGAGGATATCTAAACAAAATTTTAGGGTATTTTCGAAATTATTTGCACTTTGCGAATGCTCGATATGTTTAAATGTGCACCTTACCGCGTAAGCGATGTGGTTAGTAGTAGTTACATGCTTTGATAACATATGACGTCATAAAAGTAACCAAACTGTATAGAGAAATGCTGTGGTTACTCTGGTAAAGATAGTATAGTTTAGTAAGATTATAAATAAGTGCCTATAATAGGAAACGAATAACATCAACGTAGTCAGCCAGCTATATTTTTTACTTCGACATTAGCAAAGCGTATTGGAAAGTGTTCAATAGTCGACAATGTATAGCATTAGATGAGTCAAACAATCCCATTCAACATTCTTTTTTTTTTTCAATTAAATTATTGTTCTACGATCCTTCAGTTCCTGGTAACCCTGTATAAGTAACTTCGATTGTATTATACTCCTTACTTTCAAAAGGAAAAACCTCACTGAATTTAACGGTACGAACATAGCATACGAAATTAGTTTACACTTTAGATAAACTATTAACAATTAGAGAAGAGCATTCGACCGTTCCAAACCCTAAAAGAGTGTCTATTTTCGCTGGCGCTTCCTGCTAACACATTTTGGGATACGTCTAAAATCCCAAATGACCCCCAATAAAAGGCGAGTCCTTTTTACCAATCGAAAAGGTTTGGTTCTGAATTGAAATCATCAATTATAGAATTAAAACCTTTCACCCTTAGGTGTGCAGGAATGAAAACTTGTAAAAAATAGACATTTTTTCTGAGGGATCTCTCGTCAGTCACATATCCTTACTGATATAATATCAACGGAATTATCGTTATTATAGTTATAATAAAGGGATGTTTGTCCCAAGCGGTTTTGGGTAGAAACACAATTAGGTATTATAATTTAGGGATCTAGGGGCTTAGTTGACGAACATCCACTTGTTGGTTTAATTGTTTTAGAATACGTATAACGAAATGGTTATAATTTATAAGGTACGATGATGATGCAAAACATTTGTTTATTACTGGTTACACGTAATGGCAATGAGGGGTAATAATTTAATAATCACAAGATGGCGTCCATGTACAGTGAGGTCTAACTTTGCAAATACGGAATGATGACTGTCGCGTGCTACCACATACTTTGATTACTATACGAGGCAAGAGAGAGGTCCGACACGCCCAACATAGGGCGCGGTCATTTTGAACCCTGTGACACAGTTTACAGCTAAAGAATCAGATCGCTCACTCTGCGTCGGCACTTTTGATCTCAATGTTTCAGTTTATACACTGTGCAACTCGGATAATATAATATATGACAACCGCCTATAATAAAACAGCAGTCTTCTGCGTATCCTGAATTTGTATCCCTGGAGTGGATGTTATTTTGGAACTTTCAACTGGTCCGAGTGAGCTAACTGATTCTTTAGCAATAAACTGTGACTTCAAAAATAATATTCACTGACACTGACAGCAGCAAGCAAAATATCAGGTGCGTTTTAATCATCTGCATCTGCTTCCGGAATTGTCGGTTTAGTCGTTTTAACCTGTCAGATTAAAACAAGAAAACCGACAATTCCGAAGCAGAAGCGGATGATTAAAACGCACCTATTAAAAATATTGCGCCAAGATGTAGGCAACACCTAATAAGGGTTCAAAATGGCGGAGTTTTCTATCTCCTTTTAAAAGGCACTCAGAAAGCTGCGCAGTGCGACCATTCTCCGTATAGCAAAAGAAAATCAAAGTATGTGCGTGCTACACTTTTCTTAACCATTTCTTGACAAGTACTCTTTACAGGATATAAAATGTTATGATTGATGATTTAAGATATATTGTTCTGTATATGCGTGACACATACACATCTAAAAAATTGAAAACACCTTCATTCGTTTCTTTTCTTTATCTACAAAATAACAGCTTATAACAGTAATTACTATCGTCTTTATTATTTTAT